ATATTACCTACTCTAAATCAAAATTATAAGATAATTAATGTAAATGAATATATATATATATTGTGATTACCGACTGTCGAATTTGATAGATATGGTAATAGATACCTAATGTACTGTCGATAATTGGCAACTACGGTCGATAATTGACTATTCTAATCGATGGATAGAAGATTGTCGCGATGATGCCGGTAGAAAGAAAAAAAAGGTTTCCCCAGGGACGTTACACATGTACTGTCGTAGCAGTTCTTTTTTAGTTCGTTCTAACTGTGCGCTCGTCTTGTTAGCACCGAATTCTTTAATAGTTTCTTCACCGTTTAGTTTTTTCCGTTATAAATATAATTATCGATCTGAGTTCTTCTACTAAGTTCTTTTACTAATACGTAATGATGACATTGATCAGTAATTAAACGCTATAGACACAAATATGATTTGACGTCAAAACGAATTTGTAAACGAATTAGCCTTAATAAATTTATTATAATCTTACTATTTATTGTATTAAAGCATGCGTTGACATACAATTTATGTTAAGAATACTTATATTTTATATTTTATTTTTAAACTTGTCATAGCTTCAACATAACCTAAAAGTTTGTAATACATTATTTATTATTTATCTAATGTTATAAACTCATGTACATTCTTCAAAACAGGCTATTCGTTAAAAGTTGTGAGTAAAAAGTTTTATATGCCAAATGAATTAAAGAGAAAAAATCTATTGTGATTGTTCAAATGAATTCATTACATATGAAATATTTCGATTGCGCAAAATAGTACCATGTATAATCGCCATTTAATTATAATTTTGCATAACAGAAATTGCAATTCTTTAACTTGCTTCTTTCATCAATTAGTCACTAGCATGTTTGTCTTTATCCCGAAGGAATCTGCGACTGAACATATATGTACTCACAAGTTGAAATTAAGTCCGTAAATTGAAATAAATACATAGACTATAATTAAGCAAATATCGTACACGTCCCTTGACAAAAAATATACTAATCATGGAAGGACAATTTACCAACGAATAGCTAGATGAGTCCTTATCACTTCGGAAGATAACTGTTTGATCAATAATTGAATGTACATTCTTTTTTTGTAGCATTTCAACCGCGAAGATGACGCTCACAACAACAGCGGTAATTCTTTCGTCGCTAATCGCGTATAGTGCCGCATACAAAGAGTATCCAGCAATCTGTAACAACGAGACCTTCACAATGAGCATTTCCAATAACATACTGACACGAAAATTCATTACATCAGGTAGTATTAGATGCATAAATATTACATCTGGCATCATCAGAAGCATGGAACGTGGTGCATTTGACGGAGTGCCAAATTTGACTTATTTGAATCTTGAAGGGAATTACATTTCCCTTTCTAATTTATTCTCTTTCGGCAGCATTGCGAACCTCAAAGCCTTGATTCTCAGTAATCAGAGAGAAAATTATTACGATCCAGTAGTTCCAATAAACTTTATATATCCAGAGCTTCGATACTTGAATTTAAGGAGCAATGAGATCACCAGCATAACGAACTACGATAAGAATACTTTTCCGAAGTTAAAACATCTGGATATTTCATACAACAGATTCTCTTCGTTCACGTTCACAGGAACATGGGCGAACACACTTAAGTATTTACAACTTGATAATAATGAAATTTCCGACATCTCCCTCAGTACATTGAAGAATCTAGAGACGCTGACGATGGATAATAACAAGATTCGAAGTATAGAATACGGTTTTTATGAGGGGAGTCTTGACCTTACGGGTCTGAATAATCTGAAACACCTTTCTATAGCAAACAATAGGATTACATGGATTGACAAACTAGCATTTAATGATATGGTTAAACTTCGATATTTGGACCTCTCTTATAACCAATTGTCACCAACTGACTTGGACTCTGAAACATTTGCGCTCTTGACCTCTTTAGAAGTCCTTGTATTGAATGGCAATAAACTTGAAACAATTCCGTTCTCGACACCGTTGAATATAACAGCTCTTTGGTTGAATTGCAACAACTTTGCGAATTTAACGGCAAGCTCATTCTCCAATGTGTCATATTTAAGAACGCTTTCATTAGCTGGAAATAAAATTTCAATTATCGACACGGATGTATTTTACCCTCTACGAATGTTAAAGAAACTGTACCTGAACGATAATGATTTAAGTTATTTGTCTCCTTTGTGGAGTAAATCCCTGCAAGATCTTCGATACTTGGACTTATCCAGAAACAAGTTTACATCTTTGGATTACGTGTTTAGTTCTAATTTCGTTCCTTTACAAGAGCTTTATTTGGATGGCAATCCTCTTGAAAACATTACGAAGGACTCGCTGGCAATGCTACCAGAAAATCTGACGATTTATTTGAATTTCGGCGTGAATAGGCCAACCGATGTCTGCACACGTTCGAACCATCATGATTGGTCATTTAAATACGATTAAAAGATTAAATTTCAACACTACTATTAGCTAACGGACATGTAGGATAGCTGATTGAAACGGATGAACTGTGTTATTATTCAGCATGTCAGTATATCACAAAGGCATTATTATTAATATGTCAATTATAATTCTCCACTTTCAGGTTTAAGACACTTTAAAGTTTAAAAACAGGGTGCGGAATGTAGCGACATAGTAACTATAATCATATATATTGTATAATCATTTATTAACATTAAATAAAAATGCAACAACTTCATATAGTAACAGCAGTGATACACATCGTTGATGATCGTCTTTTTTCTACGAACATTTATCAGATTTGTTGATTTAACTTCTTCTAACCGTTTTCCTTGCATACCTTTTTTAACCGACTTCGAAAAAGGAGGAGGTTACTCAATTCGATCAGTATATTTTTTTTTTTTATGTGTGCCGGCCGATTACGCCTAGCTGGATGGACCGATCGGAACGAAACCTTTTGCATCTGGTAAGTTCTGACTCCCCATTAGTACCATTATCAAAAAATTTTTCATTTTTTAATTGCAACGTGTTGTTATTGCAAAAAAACCGGCAACGTTTTTCTTTTTCTATGTATGTTCGCCGATTACTCCGAACTGGCTCGACCGATCGGAACGAAACCTTTTGCATGTGGTAGGTGCTAACTCCCCATTGGTACCTTTATCAAAAAATTTTTCATTTTTTAATTGCAACGTGTTGTTATTGCAAAAAAACCGGCAACGTTTTTCTTTTTCTATGTATGTTCGCCGATTACTCCTAG